ACACTTAGACCCGTATTTCAAGAAGCAATGACACAAGCGGGGTCGTTGGAACAGGAACGGAATATCTTATACAAATCAGCATCGAGTTATTTTTAAAAACGCACAGGCCGACCTTGGCCTGGGGCACCCTTCATGTCAGCTGTTAACTGCGGGGTGAGGCGCCCCACCTTTTCTTCTAGAAGGGCCGCGAGCAGACGCCCCGGGCTCCGGAGTCCTGGCCTCTGTCGTGTCCGTGAGCCGCACTGTCTGCCGTGACCGTGGGTGGCTGCACCGCCGAGGACCTTCAAGGTCAGGGGCAAGGGCGCTTCCCAGAGGCATCGGAGGCTGAGCGGTGCCGCCTGGAGCGAGTTGGCAGAGGTGGCGCAGGTCCGGGCTCAGTGGCAACAGGGGCCCCTCGCCTGGCCCCCTCGCCTGACCCTACCAAAGCTGCCACTCCCCTCCCCCCCACCCCCCGCTCCTCCCCTCCGCCTTGGCAGAGTGCCCTTCAGGCCCGGGGGAGGCCTTTTCTTAAAGTTCCACGGACAACGAGGAGTTTTAAACAGTCTGGAGGGTTTCTTTACCTGGAGTAGAAACTTAGTTTTCCCGACTCCAAATTCCCTCAGGCCCCCGGGTTCCCGACCTGTGCTGGGCGCACCGGCAGGTCCGTGAGGAGAGCCACGCTGTTTCTGCTCAGCTATCTGTGCAGCAGTTAGCATTTGCTTAGCATTATCCAAGTTTTTGGGTATTTTTAGAGAAGGTGCTGTGTTTTAAATACGATGTTTTTACTGATTTCAGAGAGTGAGGAAGGGAGAGGGAGAGATAGAAACATCAGTGATGAGAGAGAATCATTGATTGGCTGCCTCCTGCACGCCCCTCACTGGGGACTGTGCCCTGACTGGGAATCAAACCCTGACCTCCTGGTTCATGGGTCAATGCTCAACCACTGAACCACACCGGCCAGACAGGTGTTTTCTTTGTTTCAACCTATTAAAGTGACCTTAAAACTACTGCCGTCTAAAATAGATATCGTATGAGTCTTATATCAAATGAGATGAAAGTCAAATTTATAAAATGTCGAATCTCTTAAATCTAAATCGAACCGAGGATGGAATGTATCCTGTTAATTTGTCAAACTTGCCGCGAACCGCCTACACGGGACAGTAAGGATTAATCAAGCTCTGGTGAGAGGGAGTTTGAAAAATAACAGTTTTCTAATTATACAGTCTCTGCTCCATGGTCCAAGGGTAATGCAGTGCTGAATTCTGACAGTTAGTAATAGGAAAGGGGGAAGGAAAAGACCAAAGCAGAGGACTGTCTTATAATTACCCGAGGCAGAGGCCCTCCCCCGGCGGTGGGGAGCTTTGTGAGTGCTGATCCGATACCCTCAGCATTTGCCTCTTTCCCCTTCCAACAATGTTGAGAGCCATCGGAGGGTTTGTGGCGCCCTTGCTGCTTAGCAAATATACTGGTAGTGCTCGGGGAGTTCTTTTGCTTATTGCCTAGCCATCGGTGAGTAGTTCTAGGTAGACAGTTGGAAAATTTGCCTTTTTTTTTCTTTTTTGGACAATTTAGCTATCTTGTGAATTACGTCCTAGACACTGTCTCGTTGGGGTACTGAGTCTTTATTCCGATGATATAAAACCCTGCTGTTCTCACGATCCCGGTGAGAACCTTTCTCCTGGGGTGGTTCTTGCACTCATCTCCTCGTAGCTCTTGCCGCGTGTATCCCAAGGCGATCAGAATGCCAGCATCGGAAAACGATGAATTTATTCTTGACCTTCTTGCTCGCAGGTAGCTGTGGACTGTGTATCGTAGCGAGAGACGTGACGGAGAAGACTCGGGCCACGCAGGGGAAAGGCCTGAGGAGAAGAGGGGACACTGGGGTTAGGAGTGTAGATTTCGGGGCTTTGCAACTAGATCTGCTACCCGAGAATCTAAGAATGAATGCTTCGAAGAGCAGAACTGGACTTTGGGACGTGCCTAGAAAGTTGAGAGAAAGAAAAGGACCCATTGAAAGTAGGGCACCCCGAAGGCCCTGGTCCTCCTGAGAGGACTTGGGGTGGCGGGTAGTAACTAACCAAGGGCCGGGGAGCAGGCGAGTCAGATTGCAGCCCGAGGAGGCTTTGGGTTTAGGTCAAGAGCAGGCCGTTCAGTGGCGAGCCAGGACCGGCTCACCACCGCTGATGTGCCCATCTCTTCTCACTTCCCTGCCGTGTTGGAGGCTTGAAATTGGCTGAGTGGCAGCATTTACACCAAGAAATGGGCAGACGCTACAGATTAGGGCCATTTTAAGAGAACAATTGGTTGTAAACATTACTAGCATATTCCAGAGGTCAGCAGGTTTCCTTAGAGCAGTGTTTCTGAAACTTTTTACATGGTGACAAACATAGTTTTCCTGCAAAAAAACCCCACACAAAACAACACACACACACACACACACACACACACACACACACACACACACACGGAAGTGTTAGGAGCAGTACCTAACCTTGCCACGTGGGTGCGTTCTAATCTCAGCCCTTCTCTTTTCATTAAAAAGAGAAGAAAATGCTGTTTATAGCTCACTAAACCAGTGTCGTGACCTGCAGTTTGAAAAGCATTGTTTCAGAGACAAGTGGAGGTTTTATATGCATTACCGAGTCAAGAGGCTTGCCCTTGGCCATGGGAGAGGAGACTCCTGTTTTGCGGTCAGAGCCTGTCTTGGAAAAGATTGGCTGTTCTGGAAGATGGAGGGAGGAAACCGGGCACATTAGGGAAACGCTAAAAATTGGATTACTGAGTATCTTTTAAACTGCTTTGGTTCAGTTAGTGGAAATGCGCTTTCTGAGAGCTGGCGCTGTTCCTGCAAACCGAGAGCGCATCCGTGCCCCGGTCGGGGTCACACGCTTCAAGTGGCAAAGTGGGGCCTTGCACCTCGGGGCTGCCTCAGTTGCAGGTGGAGGATGCGAGGGTGGGGGAGAAGGCCAGGCCAGGCCAGGCCCGCCAGCAGGGCTCGAAGCACGCCCTCCCAGGCCAGGCCTGCTCCCTGCCGAGTGCTCTCTGTGGCCTGGAGCCCACATGGCAGTTGCCTGTTACTTGATCAGCTGTGATGGCCAGCCCGGCTAAGTGAGTCCCCACACTCCACCCTGATTGACCTACGTGAACACATGAGTCCCAAAGCTCATTCCAGGTTCCTCTGGGCGGACAGTCTGGGGACCTGATGGGTCCGTTCTGAAGGGAAATGCAGGGGGGTTGGGAGGGGAAGCCGAGGGTCAGAGCCACAGGGGCTGTGGGGTCGTGGACCTGCGAGACCCGTGCCAGGATCTGGACAGACAGCAGCGGGGAGTTCCCTGTGGGCGGGGCCAGGAGAGGTGTCAGGTGTAGCCCGGGGATGGGGTTTCCCTCCTCAACCCCATAGGTGCAGGCTGGGGAGCCAGGGCGAATCAGACAGGGTTCTCAGACAGGGCTCGGTGGGCCCAGGGGGCTCCAGGAAGGTGGGAGTGGGTGTCACTTCCGAGGCTAAAGGTACGGATGATCCCGAGAAATTGAGTGTGCCTGGTCACTCCACGAGTTTAATTTTTTTACTTTTTTTATTTTTATTGATTTCCGAGAAGAAAAGAGAGGGAGGGAGAGAGAGAAAGATCAATGATAAGAAGGAATCGGCTGCCTCCTGCACACCCCACACTGGGGATGGAGCCCGCAACCCGGGCATGTGCCCTGACCGGGAATCAAACTATGACCTCCTGGGTCCTAGGTCGACGCTCAACCACGGAGCCGGGCTGTTTTTCATTGTCCAGCTTGACTTGGGGGGTCGTGGGTTGTGAACTGTTCCTTTGAAAGAGCCCACGTGTGCCTGGCACTCAGCCCTCACGTCGCCAGCAGACCTCATGTCTTTTTAACAGGAAACTTTATCGGTTTCATCTTGCGATTTTGTGGGTCAGAGAGAGGAAGTCTGTTCATGGTCCTGGGTGTCATTTCTCTGAACCACCCTTTACCCAGGGATGCTGGCCGGTTGCCCACAAAAGGCTGTTTCATATGCTAATTTTCTTAACCCAGGCAGACAGTGTTACATTTTGCCCCAAAATGAATTCGAGGAAGACAGTTGCCATCCACGTGACAATTTAGAAATTCAAGAGAGGACAGTGCACTGGGTTTTCTCCCAGATTCAGAAACTCCGCAGTTCTGAAGAGTAATACCGACACCATCAAAAAGTGTTTATTGGGCGGGCAGGCCTATGTTTGATATTTGAATTTAAGAGGACTGTCTGTATTTCCTGGCGTTGGCATCAATAACTAGAACCTGCATTTCCCCCTAATTCATTCAATAAATATTTAACACCCATGATGTTCATGGCACCGCGTTAGACTCCGGAACCTAGAAGACTGGTCCTGCCCTCGAGGGGGAAATAGAAGAAATAATTACATCTAGTTGTTTTTAACACGGAGCCGGGTTAATCCGGGCTTGGGGACTTGGTCATGGGAAGGACATGGGGGCAAGGGGACTTCTGTGAGGCCAGCGCCCTCCTGGGCCCTGAGCCTGGAGCCCGTCCCTCCTCCTCCCTGTCCTCCCCTGCCCTGGGGGTGTATGGACTGTGGGCTCAGGGAGCTGGCTCAGGTCCCTCTGGCCTGCAGGGGTTCTCTGGTGGGTTGCGATCTGATTAAGTGCAGCTTTTCTTTTTCGGGAGATTTTCTTACAAGGCCTGCCTGAGACTGTTGGTTTCCACAGGCGCCTGAGACCTCCTAAATCATGGCCTTCGTGGACTACAAGGAGCGCTCCCAGCGTTTTCTGGGAGGGCCCTGGTCAGCTTCCTGCCCACAGCATCGCAGAGCCGCGGCCGGACACGCACAGCGGCCACCCCACCCGAGACCGGGAGGCCTGGGAGGAAGGTGGGCCCGAGGAGGCCCTCAGCAAAGGCTCGCTGACCGAGGGAGGACGTCACGGCCAAATGTGCCCAGAGGAAGGCGTTGTGTGTAGGCTGGTGGTGGTGGGAGCGGGCGAGGAGACCCTCGGAGGCCCCGTGGTTATAATTCCAGGAGATTTGTGTGATTTGGACCACGGCCAGATAGTCATTAATTCGCTCAGCAAACATTGATTTTAGCGCTTGGATGTGTAGCGTGTGTTGTTAAGTGACCTTGGGGATGCCAGGGGGTTCTGGGAGGCCGTGTTTCCTAAACACATCTGCACGTTGGAAACGTGGGGGAACCGCTTAGAGATTTCAAAGCCCCGTCCACACCCAGGCCCTGTCAGGTTCCGGGTGTGGGACCCGGACAGCCGTGCTTTGGAACATCCGAGGATTCCAGTCTGCACACATGTGTGAATCTCTGCCACAGGGAGGTATAATATAGCCTTAGATAATGCACCCAGAAAAGGAAATAGCAACTAAGATAGCATACAGTTCCCTGGCTGGTTCGGCTCAGTGATTACAGGGTCAGCCTTCAGACTGAAGGGTCTCGGGTTCGATTTCCGGTCAAGGGCACGTGCCTGGGTTGTAGGTTCGATTTATGGCCTCAGTCAGGGTGCATTCGGGAGGTAACAAGTCAGTGTGTCTCTCACATCAATGTTTCTCTCTCTCTCCCTCCTCCCTCCCTTCTACTCTCTCTCTAAAGATCAATGGAAAAAATATCCTCGGGTGAGGATAGAAAAAAAAGATAGCATGTAGCCACCGCACAGAGCAGGTAGGAGATTCCAAACTAGATCTGAGTGGTGAGCACAACTCCTGCCTTGAGAGGAACACCCGTGGATTAGTCGGTGCGAACCCCGGCCCAAGGCCCTGGGAAGGTGCGGGAGGGGAGAGGAGGGGGCTCCCTTCATCCTGGAATTCCGGCAAGTCTGGGAATGACCTTGGATCCCTGTGTAGGGATCTTAGGTGGAATGAGCAAGTGTAGCAAGAACTTGACCTTTCGCATGGCCGGCGTGGCCCAGTGTTTGAGCGTCGACCTATGCACCAGGAGGTCACGGTACAATTCCCGGTCAGAGCACATGCCCGGGTTATGGGCTCGATCTCCAGTGTGGGGCTTGCGGGAGGCAGCCCGTCAATGATTCTCTCTCATCATTGATGTTTCTATCTCTCTCTTCCTCTCCCTTCCTCTCTGAAATCAATAAAAAAAAACCAAACTTGACTTTTCCTTGCCATTAAGTAGATGCATGTCTTTCTTATAAAAGACGAACTACTGGGCACCCACAAGGATGTGTGCGTGTGGGCCGGGAGCCATGAGGCCACGCAGATCCCTCGGTCAGAAATGCTCAGCTCCACTTCCTGATTCTCTTGCTCTAGTTGCTCCTGCCCTCTCGGTGGCCACGGCGAAAGCACATCCCCGCGTGTGCATATCAGCACACAGATGAGCCATTTTATGTGGGTAGTTCACGCCCCAGGGCCTTGTGGCTGCACGTGGGGTGGGGCTGGGGGGAGGTACCTGACCCCGGCCCCTCCTGGCAGCTCTAGGTGCTCACAGACCCTGGGCTGCTGCGTGGACCGGGGTGCCTCTAATCGCCAACCCGTCGGCCACATGGCCCTCATTGGCATTCTCAGCACTTTTGGTTTCTAATTAGTTTTTTTTTTAATCGAGTCTATTATATGTTACTAGAGAAGAGGCCTGGTGCACGAAATTTGTGCACGGGTGGGGTTCCTAGGCCTGGCCATCGATTAGGGCCCATCAGGTTCCCTGCCTCCCCGCCTCCTCCTTCCCTCGCTCCCTCAGTGCCCTGCCGCTGGTTGCCCACCATGTTTCATGCTGCCCCCTGGTGGTCAGTGCACATCATAGCGAGCGAGCGAACTCCCCATCTCCTGGTCGAACTCCTGAGGGGACACTTTGCATATTAGCCTTTTATATAGGGTGTCCCAAAATTCATGCAAGAAGTAATTTTGATAGAAAACACAGGTTTATAATTAAAAATTATAAATTTTTTATTGATTCATAAAGTATACAGTATAGGGTTATGTATGGAATAGCACATCGAGTAAATGGCCTCCACGGCTTTGCTGGCACATACGCAAAGCTGTGGTCTTCATTGGTCTTCATTGTCCCTGCTCCTGGGCCATCATTGGTACTTGGGAATGCTTATCAAATTGAAGGGATTGAAATCAAAGGGCAACAGATATTAGAATCTGATTCAATAAGCCAAGTAAAATTAGGCTTTTATTTTTTGTTGTTGTTGTTGTTGTTAATGCTCACGCAAAATTCAAATCTTGCGTGAATTTTGGGACACCCTCCATATATATGGATTTCAGAGGGCGGGACGGAATGCTTCAGCACTATTGGTGAATTCTTCCTGAGCCCCAGTGTAAGTGTTTCTCTTCTCGCTCCCGCCCGCAGTGTGCCACGCCGAGCTGAACGCCATCATGAACAAGAACTCGGCCGACGTGAAGGGCTGCACCATCTACGTGGCCTTGTTCCCGTGTAACGAATGCGCGAAGCTCATCATCCAGGCAGGTAGGCGCAGGCGGCCCATTTGTCACGCCGGCGTCGCGGCCTGCCCCTCGTCGCTCCTCACAGATGGGTTTGATCCTCCGTTGCTGTTGTTTGGATCTAAATTAATTGCACTATCGACTTTGCCGGATGCCTCCCGTGTTTTGTGTCTGAACGGTGCCAGGTATTCTGCGACTAATTGCGTCCTCTGCGATTCTTAACATGTTTCTAATTTCGTCTGCAACTTCTTAAACCGCAAGCTGCCAAAACGCAACACGGGCTTGCATATCGTTACTGTCAGTTTTCTGTTCTCTGGCATGTCGTGCATAGATTACGGTGGGGGGGGGTGCGGGCAAGGGGGGGAATGAGTTTCTGTCAGGTACAAGGTCAGCTGGGAGGCTGTATGTGAAATTTTAATTTGTAGCTAATGTAGGGTAGATATTTGAGGACCTAACCATATCTCTGCATTTTAATGTCATAAGACTCCGATGGAACCATGTTAAGTTTTTCTTACCGCGAAGCGACAGCACTGTGTTCTGAGCATTTCGCCTTTTTCAAACTGTCACATCTGAGATTCGGCCGCACTCTGTCTCCATAAAAGTCTCCGCGTGAGATTTCGAGACGTGCCGCGGTGGCCAGATGTGCAGCTTAGAGGGCCTGTTTCTCACGGGCCCGTGGGTCTGTGAGCAGAGGGGGTCTGCCGGTGTTGGAACCAGAGTCTCCGCGGCTCCCCCGCGGGCGCTGGAAGGTCCTTCGGGACCCAGGCACCGAGGCGGTGCAGGCGTGGGCAGAGCCGCGCATGCCCTGGGGGGCCAGCCCCCTGCTGTCCCTGCGGAGCTGGTGTGGGGAGTGCCGTCCGGGGTCCTGCCTCAGGTCAGCGCTGCTGGTGAGACGGGGGAAGCACCCGGTCTGCTCCGTGTGGGTCTGCAGAGCCGTCCAGGGAAGTCGCTGGTCTTTCTCCGATTTTGCCAGCATGCTCCCCCCCCCCCCCCCCCGCCCCCACGAACCTCTGGAGTTGGACAGTAATTGCCTCATGAAGAGAGAATGTCTGATTGCCCGCAGTAAAGGAAATTTGTTAATCATATCGAGGCTTGACCACTTGACTGTTTTCACTTTGCATTTGTTAAAAAAAATCCATAAAGGCCGGAGGGCAGATTCAACACCGCCCGTCCCTGTCCGCTGCTGTCCCTGTCCGCTGCTGGACTGGAGCTCAGCTCCTGGTTGCAGCCACTGGGCGTGGTGTGGACGCGCCCTCGGGAGAGGCGATTCATTGCAGACACCGCCATCAAATGGATGCATGATTTCTTATAAAAGATGAACTGCTGGGCACCCGGAGCGAACTGCTGGGCACCCGGAGGGCAGCGCTGCTGTCCGTCTGTCCGACGTGGTGGCGTCACTGTGCTTGTACTAACAGGGCTTCTTGCCTTGTTGCCTTTTAAGGTATCAAAGAAGTTATATTCATGTCTGATAAGTACCATGATAGCGAGGAGTCCACCGCCGCCAGGCTCATGTTTGATATGGCTGGGGTCGCCTTCAGGTGAGTGGAGGGCCGGAAGCCTGATGGAGAAATGGGGTGGCCTGAGGCCTGATGGAGAAAGGGGGGGCTGAGGCCTGATGGAGAAAGGGGGGGCTGAGGCCTGATGGAGAAAGGGGGGTGGCCTGAGGCCTGATGGAGAAATGGGGTGTCCTGAGGCCTGATGGAGAAAGGGGGGGCTGAGGCCTGATGGAGGGGGGTGTGGCCTGGACCCGTGTTTCGTTTCTGCCTGTGATGCCCGACTCCCTTTTACCTCCGGCCCCTCTTCCAAGGCGTGGGCTGAGCCTCTGTGTTTTAGGGGAAGATCTTTAAGAGCAGTGACAGAGGTAGTTGAAGACGATCTGGCTAATAATTGTGCTTTTAAAAAAAATATTCTTATTGATTTCAGAGAGGGAGAAAGAGATAGAAACCTCAGTGATGAGAGAGAATCATCGATCCACTGCCTGCTTGCATGCCCCCCACTGGGGATTGAGCCCTCACCCGGCTCATGTTCTGACCGGGAATGGAACCGTGACCTCCTGGCTCATCCGTCAGCGCTCAGCCCCTGGGCCACCCGGCCGGGCGGGTGGCGCTTTAATGTCGGTAGCTTTCCAGGGCTTGGGCTGATGACTCTCGTAGGGAGAAATTGTTAAACATTCACAAGTTTTACAATAGAACATTAAGCCTTTGTACATTTGGAAGGGTGACAACTCCGGCTGTCATAGAACATTTAGGGTGACAGTACGCTGCCAGGTGAGGCACCAGGATCCCTCTTGACAGCGGCGTTTGAGGTTGAGATTGGCAGCCACTTAGACGTTTATGATCGCGTCTGACCTGCAGGTGAGTTCCAGCACCTTCGATTCATGGTGGACACCTGCGTGGAGGCTGTGAGCTTCTGAAGCAGGTTCTTCACAGTACTTGCGGTCAGCAGTGGGGTTCTTGGGATCAGGAACACGCCTGGCCCCTCGCGCTCGGCACTGGGGATACAGGTTGTGGGCCGTGAATCTGTTACGCTCTATGAGACACTAAATCCACATTTTTTTTACATATTAATAATTAGACATTGACTCTTTATTGATTTTTAAAAGAATATGTGTAGTCCCCAAATATTTTCTTTTTAACTGTTATAGAAGGTACATCAATGAGCAAAGAAATATATAGTGGGTGTACTAGTATTTCACTTCTGCATTTTTTAGAACACGCATTTAAAACGGATTCCTCGCTAAACCTAGCTGGTTTTTTGGCTGTATGTATAAGAGGCAAAAGAAAATGGACTCTTTTGCATTAGAGTGATTTCACGTTGGCTGTAGAAATTTCCTAGAACATCAGATAAGTCTGGTGAGAAAGGTAGTGATGGGATGTCATGTTGTACAGCTAACGTGTTAGGGGTCCTTTGCCCCCCAATAATTCATGTGTTCAGCCAGCCAAGGAGCCTGCAAGCCACGCCCCCCAGCATCTGCTGGGTCTGAGTCTTTTTTTTATTTTTTAAAATATATTTTATTGATTTTTCCACAGAGAGGAAGGGAGAAGGATAGAGAGTTAGAAACATCGATGAGAGAGAAACATCGATCAGCTGCCTCCTGCACACTCCCCACTGGGGATGTGCCTGCAACCAAGGTACATGCCCTTGACCGGAATCGAACATGGGACCCTTCAGTCCACAGGCCGATGCTCTATCTGCTGAGCCAAACCGGTTAGGGCTGGGTCTGAGTCTTATGGACCATGTTCCTCTCTGCACAGGCCCTGTAATTGGCTCCTATAGGATAAAGTGAGTCCCCACAGAAAATGTGGGTTAAGCCAAACTAAACAGATTAACTACTCACTGGATAATACCATTATATATTTCTTTTGTTTTTTTTAAAATATATTTTTTATTGTTGATAGTATTACAGATATCTTTCTTCCCCCTCTTTACACCCCTTCTCCTAGCCCCTACCCGCCCCACTCCCCCCAGTCTTCACCACCCTATTGCCCATGTCTGAGGGCTACGCCTTTATGTACACAAGTTCTTCGGTTTATCTCTTTCATTATCTATTAAATAGATTCTATTTTGTTTCTTCCATTTAGGAAATTCACACCCAAGTGCAGCAAGATTGTCATTGACTTTGATTCCATCAACAGCAGGCCCAGCCAGAAGCTTCAGTGAGTCAGGTCCCATTAAACCGCCGGGAGGTGGGGATTTCCCTCCCCCAGGGACCGGAGCGCCTTTCATCTGCAAGTTACACGCGCCTTCCCACCGGGCAGCACACCGAGACGCACAGCTAATCCACGCACAGCCTCATCTCCCCGACGCTCTCTCCCGTCGCACGGAATCTGCTTCTGACTAAGCTATTGATTTAGGGTTAAGATAAAGGGGCCTGTGCCCGGCCCGTCTCGAGGGGCTGGCATGGGGTGCCTTCCCCTTTGCGTGCCGGTTTGCCGGGGTGCAGGGGAGTGTCCCCACGCGCGCTGTCACCCACCGCACGTCACAGCTGCTGCACGCGGCTGCCTGTGCTCGGTGGACAAATAACCATCGTGTCCCTCGCGGGAAGAGCCGGCGCGCTGATGGGAACATCTGGCCCCAGTGAAGCAGAACGTGTAGTGCCCTTGGAAACGAATGGAGGGCCCACACGGCAGCGGCCTTAAGCTGTGCGCTTTAGAGTCGAGGGGCGCCCCCACCCGCCGGTCTCACGGTGGTGGCGGAGCTGAGTTCTGGACACTTTCTCTGCTTTTGCTGTCCTGCTCCCCACAGGGGAGTGGCTTCCTGTCCCCCTGCGGGTGGGGACTCCTGTGTTTTTATGTCTCATTTTTGGTTTGTGGGTCACATATTACTTAGTTGTTCCCAAGCAGACAGCTCATCCTGTTGCCCCCAAGACCCCATCCTGCTGTGGGGGTGGGGACTGTGTGGATGGGCAGCCATCATGGGTCATTCCCAAGGCCACTCCCAAGGCCACTCCCAAGGCCACTCCCAAGGTCACTCCCAGGGCCACTCCCAGGGCCACTCCCAAAGCCACTCCCAGGGCCACTCCCAAAGCCACTCCCAAGGTCACTCCTAAGGCCAATCCCAAGGTCACTCCCAAGGTCACTCCCAAGGCCACTCCCAAAGCCACTCCTAAGGCCACTCTCAAGGCCACACCACAGCCTGGGAGTAAAGGATTCCTAACCTGTAAGTGAGATGTGCAGAGATCCAGGTGCCTCCAGGCGGTTTTCACCAGATCTGGTGACGGGCCTGGGCCTCCTCTGCTCGCTCCCGGCTCCCGGCTCTGCACCTTCCTCCTGGGACACTAATCGCACCTTCCTGTCGCTGTGAGGGGTGGGGGATGTGTGGCTGGCTGGACACCTGTCTTTAATCCCACTCAGTTTTTATTAAATGTGCTCAGTCCCTTTGTTGAGAAAGTGGTTTCTTTATCCTAAAGATTATGACTGATTTTAAAGGGCTCTTATATTTTTATGAGTTTTTATTTTGTCTCTGAGGTTTTGTACTCTGTATTCCGGGGCATTTTGTAATTTGGCTCCTTACCAACGTTATTAGAATCTTATTAAAACCTACCCCAGCGAAGGACGTTCGTTTTTATCTTGTAATTATGCGCTTGGTTCTCCGTTCCCGTCGTCTCTGCATTGTCTGCGAAGCACATTACATATGTTTTAATGCTCGGAGACAGGACCCCGCGTGCTGCCTCGGGGCTGGCTGGCAGAGCTTGCGGTGCTGCTTCAGGGACCAGACGGAAGCTGTGAGGAAGGTTCTCTGACTCCCCCTCCCGGGCCCCTGCTCGCTCAGGTGATGAGTCAGAACTGAGCGGCCTTGCAGCAGCCCAGTGGGTGTTCTGAGAAGTGCTCGGGGGTGTGGGGTAAAGTCACCCCCTCCTCAACATGGGAATCGGGTCCAGGAACCACCAACAAAGCCCACTCTGCCAATCTCTTGACTTTGCCAGCGGCCTCCACCGCCAGGCCCTGCAGACACGGCCCGCACTTCACTTCCTCTGGGACCCAGTTGTCTACCGTTAGTGTCCACATCCGAGTGTGGCCCGGCGGGGAGGGCAGGGCTCAGAAGTGAGTGTCTGCCGGTGCCCAGCTGTTACTCATTTCCAAGGTCAGAGGTTTTTAAAAAAAGATTTAAAAAGTCTCCATTGAGTTAAAAGAATGGGAGGCGGGGTTGCGTACACCTGCTTACCGCTCAGTCGTGGAATTACTGGTGGAGCCGTGGGAGTCACAGGCCTGGGTCCCGACAAAGGGTCACCCTTATTTTTGGCGCCCAACTGCCACCTCTCCTCTGGAGCTCTGAGCTCCCTCTTGAACCCCAGTCTGGGTCTTTGCTTTTCTCCTGCTATTCTCTCTCTCTGTTTTTAAATATATATGTTTACTAGAGGCCCGGTGCACGAATTCATGCATGGATGGGGTCTGGCGGCCCGCCCTGATGAGGGGCGATTGGGCAAGGCTGGCCAGGGGAGGACCTGAGGGAGGTTGACCGGCGGGCCCCACCCTCGATCGGCCCCTCCCACCCCAATTGGGGTGGAGCTGGCCAACCACCTGCAGCCCCTCCCCTTTGCTGGTTGGTCCCGCCCCCAATTGGGATGGGCATCCATTGGGAGCTGGGCTGGTTGGGGGGAGGGGCTGTGGGAGGTAGGGGGGGGCCGATGGGGGCCCGGATTGGGCTGGTTGGCCACCGCAGTGCTTGTCATAGCAACTGGTTGTTATGGTCATTCCGCCATTCAGGTTGCTGGGCTTTTATATATATAGATTATGTGGTAAAATACACATCACATCACATCTTTAACCATTTCTAAGTGTGGTATTAAGTACATGCACATTGTCGTTCAGTCATCACCACTACCCACTTCCAGAGCTCTTTTCATTTACAAAACTGAAGCCCTGTGCCCTTGAACCCTAACTCCCCACTCGTCTCTCCCCCAGCCCCCGGCCACCCCTATTCTGCATCTCTCTGTGTGAATTTGGCGGCGCTAGGTACCTCACGGAAGTGGAACCCTACAGAACTTTCTCTGTGACGGGCTCATTTCACCTAGCATCGTGTCGTAAAGGTCTAGCCGTAAGGAGAACTTATCCATGTTGTCAGAACCTCCCCCTTTTTGAAGGCTGAGTAGTAACCCACTGTAGCCCACCTTTGGTTAATCTGTTCACCTGTTGATGGGCTCTTGCGTTATCTCCACCTTTTGTCTGCCGGTTTCTTTTGAACGTCCAGTGTTCCTCTACCATCATCCCCCTGGCCCTGCCTCCCTGCCTACACCATCACCCAATGTCCCAGGGGGTTCCTCACCTTAAAAAACACAACAGGAAACAAAACCAGCCCTTCTAAGAGGCTGTTCAAGTGCTTCCTTTGCCCACCTGCAGGTTTCAATGCCTCTTTCAAGATTGAGCGGGGACCCTGCTTTCTCTAGTCTCCCCCAGTCGTCCTCCGTTCAAGGTGATCTTCTCTCTGACATCCTCCTGCAGTGCCCGTCAGCAACAGTCTTCGTGGCCATAAATCATGCATGTGTGATGCCATCGCTTCTGCGTCTCCGACTATTACCGAGGCGTTCCATTGACCTTCTCTCAGGGATCTCTCCCTGCTCTAACGAGACGGTGAGCCGAGCATGTGTGTGCCTGGAGTCTCTCTATACCCACCTGCCCCCCTCCCACCACTGCTTGCCCGGTATCTTACACAGAGGTGCTCAATGCATCCGCTTCACATTCCCACTTAAAGGTTATGAACCTGATTGCCCTTTGATTCAGTCAAGTAGCTGATCAGCAGCCAACTCCCTGAATTATTTTTCTGATTTCCTCGTGAATGGCTAAAAACAAAAAAATGTCAAATAGACTGTAAGAGAAAGAAGTTTTCCTGTGAGCCTCGGGTTCATGGACACATTTGTCTCTGAGACAGAAGGGATGTTACTATTTAAATGTCTTAGTTTTAACTTCTGGGTTTCCGTGAACGCATTCTTATCTATGGTTTTCAAATGGGGATTTGGCAATAACATAGGCTCTTGGCAGGACACCCAGAGATGATGTTCCCACTTAAACCCATCTGGCCAGGGGATGTCTTGCGGGTCTTTGGTCCTTGTGCTGCGCCAGCAAGGCCAAGGGTGAACCTGAGGAGGGGCGGTGGAGGATTAAAGAAGACAGACAAGAGAATTCAGCTGGGGCTTGGTGGATCTCCTCTGCCTGGATGAGGACACAAAAGACCCAGCCTGCAAGCCGATGCTTTATTTTATAGCCTGATTAAAACAAGGGTAGATTAACTTGTATACAAATGTTCTTGTTTTGCCAACACTTGCTGCACCTCCCACAGCCCATTAGCTACTTCGGAAGGAATTAGGGAGTCCTACAAGGTCAGGTTTAATTATGCTAGGAGAGCTCTGCCCTCCAGGCTGGGACTTGTTTGTGGCCCTGCCACAGGTCAGCCTGAGGCTTGACCCTAGACCCGCTCCCTACAGGTCCCCGTAGAATGCTAACCGTTGCCGGGTTCTCTATTGTAACTTTTGTTAGTGAAAGTTCTTATATCTTGATATTGTCAGAGACGCCATCGGCCCCGGTTTGCAATGGCATCTTGTTACGGAATTGCTTTCTTTGGTGCGTGTTATGCAGCCTCTGTATTTCTTCTCCTGCCTTTCCCCAGGTGTTCCAGATAAGCAGGCATCGGTCATCTATGCAGCTTTACCAGGCACCTGACTCTCCGTGGCTTACATAAACACCATTCTATTTTCCTCACAGAGTAAGTACAGTTGTGAGCATTGGTTGGAGTTGGTTCCGCTGCTCAGTGATATCGGCAACAATGGAGGCTTTATTTCTTTTCACTCGGCTCTCTTTAGCATCGTGTCTCTCAGCTCCAGGTGTCTTGCCTGAAGTGCAAGAAGGAGATGGGAGGTGGGGTGGACATGAGGCCTCTCCCTTTATCAGGGAACTTCCAGCAAACGTTCTTTTATGTCTCCTTGGCCACACGTGCCACCTTAGCTGCCAGAGAGGCTGCCAGGGTGCTTGGCATTCCAAGTTCTGTGGTGGAGGCTGCATGGGGGCAGGGGGTTAGTGACACCTGTTACTAGTCATGTGCTGCGTAATGACGTTTCGGTCTACAACGGACCGCATGTACGACAGTGGTTTACCCTACAGCCTGGGCGTGGCTGTACCCTCTAGGTTGTGTAAGTGCACCCTATGATGTTCACGCAACGTCGAAATTGCCTAATGATGCATTTCTCAGATTGCACCTGTGCTGGGGTCCAACCCCAGCGGGTCCAGGGGTCCCCAAAGGTGTGGACGGAGTTGGCGAAGAAGGAATGACATGGAGACAGCCTTCAGTTGATCAGCAGCCTAGTCAGGACCTCTAGCCAGGATCTCCAGCCAAAGTTCTGGTTAGGATCTGATGTTTATTGTCTTGTTACATCTGTATTTATACCAGTTGATTTTAATCCTGTCAATTTCTATTGCAAAGGTTAGGGCATTTCTTATCTCCATTCCAGGGAGTAAAGATTATGTAGCTTAAGCGTGATTGTTTGTAGTTAAAGTGATTAACTACCCGCCTGGCACTTAGTTAAGGGGTTTTATCCCCTCCCTAACTTCAGGGAAAAATCCCTACCTGGGGAAACAACCTTTCTTGGAGAGGTGACCTTGGTTAAAACACATGGCTCTAAGGAGAGCAAACATATTAAGAACAATATGCTATATATGCCAGGTCCCTTGAAACATATGCTGTGCAGATGTTTCTTTCCTGCAGCGACTGTGTCAAGCAGCAAGGATGGACCGGCTTCCGGCACACCTGATTGGCTAATACTTGGTACCACAAATCCTATGTTCCTGTATAGGCACCTTATTTTTTTACAAAGTGCCTTTGGAGCAAAAAGGATAGGTAATTACTAATATATATATATATATATCTCAATAAAAATGACACCTATTTTGTTTTCAGGCCAGCAAAAAAGATACTTTCTGGTGTGCCTCAGAACTTTAGTAATTAGTTTATCTGTGCCATCAGATGAAAAAGGTTGAAAATCAGATTTAAAACAGTAACTCCTTTACATGCTAACATAAATAACGTTTTTTATGAGAGAAAGAAAGCTATTTTCCAGAACAGCAAAAAAATATTTAGAGAAAAGAGTAACATCTTCCTTTTGGATGTCTGACTTCACAGAAAACCGTTAGTGTCACTTCGGTGAGTGTTTTCCCTCTCTCGTGATAAGTTATTTTGATGGAAGTATCTGAGGAGAATCCTCCCACAGATGTGTAGTTAGAAAAAGGCAGGGGTTTTAATAGCCTTTACAGAAAATGGGAAATATTCTCCTTGGATACCACACCACAACGGGATGCGTGGTGGTTTCTCACAGAGCAGTTGCTATATGACATTGGAAATCATATTAATGACTGTTTCCTGTTATCTTACATTAAGATCCATGGGTCTCTCTGCTACTTGGAATGGGTGTGTTACTCATGCAGGATACGATATCGTTTGGAAAAGAATGCTTCCCTGAGTGATGTCGTTCTTCCAAACATTGACACATTTCATTATACAATATCCCCAAATCACTTCGGTAAATAGCACAACTGATCTCATTAGAAACATCTAAATACTGGGAGGTT